AAAGATGAATATTTAGATGTCATTTTGGGAGTTGATGAATTGCCTTTAAGAGATATACAAAATTTTAATTAAATATTAAATATTAGTTAATTATAAATATAAGAATACTTGTATTGGGACTGCCCGAAACAACGAAACCCTGTAGTAAGTAATCGTTATTGCATGGTATTTCACAGCCTCGACAGAAGTCAGACCAACCACATAAAGCGCAAGTCAAACCGTCCTTTTTAACAGCACGTAACGTAAATGGAAAATCGTAACCTAGGCTGTCATCACTAATAAATAAATAATATAGTCTACATTTACAATCTTTTAAAATAACATACACATATACATATAAAATATATAATTGTGATTACAGCAATTAAAATATAATACAATATATAAAAATTTATGTTTAAATTGATTTTACTTACCAATCAGCAGCATGATTTGCTTGATCCGTGGAAGCTGGCAAAGGACTTAATAACCGGCTTACTTGTAGCCACACTGCGCAATACAAATCCTTATGTGTACCGCCATTACTGTTTGGTATCAACAAAGGAACACCAAAAAGACTTGGACGCGTTTTGTGATACGATAAAAAGTAACTATCTTGTCGTGTTATTTTTCGATGGACTGCTACCAAATACTTTCCTACTTTATAGTGTTGCGATGGAACGCGCGAGAAGATTCCATTACAAATGCTTTCAGTTTGTATACAATTATTGCTTATTTGGCCTTGTATTATTTCGTTCTCATTCACACCAATGCTGCTGTTACCACTGTTATCTCTGAACGAACTTTCTTTATACGTTCGCCCAAAGTTTTTACTGTAATCCGTGCTTTCATTTGAAAATTCAGTTGAATTCAGTTTGCTAGTTGCATTATTCAATCGATTATCATTATCACACATGGATACCATAGGATCAATGGGTAACGTTTCAGTTGTGGAACTTTCCATTGAATTTTCACCGGAATGATGTGTTAATGAAGAGGAACATGTAACGCTTTCACCATGCAATAATTTTGCTGATGAGACGCTTTTCTGTGTCCCACTTACAAAAGTGTTTTCGGGACTACGACTTAGATCGGGTGTTTGCTATCATAAAAATGATTAGTTTGATTTCATTTTTTTTTTAACTTTTTACATTATTCTATAAAAAATGAAGACCTAATTAAAACTACTATAAATAAAAAAGTGTAATAAACTTTTCAACTAAATTATGTATAAAGTGTGCGTTACAGGAAATGTGTAAATCAAGTGGGCTTAAATATTAATAAATGTTTATATAAAAAAATAAGAAAATAATATAACTAGTTGGAATCACTAAGAAAGCTTTTAACTGCAATTATATTGAGATAACTAAATATGTTTTATTTAATAAATTACGGCTCACTACTGTTGTATAACGTGGACAGAAATACAACAATATATTTGATATTAATACAATAAAGTTATATATATCTTGTCTAATCAAGATATTTAAACGTAATTTAAAAGTAAGATAAAATTATTTTTTCCTCCTCCTTGGGTAATAAATTATTTTGTATTAAATTTTGTATTATTAGTAGCGAAAAACTTTTATTTGTTAGGTTTAGTTTCTTCTCACCAATTGAATGCAATTATAATGTTTTAATTTCGATTTTAAGCTATTTTATATTTACAATTGTTTTGTAAAAATTATTAACAGAGAAGGAGAAAACGTTTTTATGAAATAAAAGAACATCAGCAGAGCCATTAGTTATTATGGACATAATAAGAGTTAAAAGCATACTCTTGATTTAAAAATTGTATGTACAAATGTTTAGAAGACAATCAAAAAGTGGTATCTGTATTGTTGACTGTTTTTATCAATATATTATCTGTTCGACTCAATTCATTATATTTTTATATAAATAAAAAAAATTATAGTGAAATTATCACTCAAGTATTAAAAGTGTGCAGAATATTATAATTTTCCATAGTCAGTCAAGTTCTTTCTTTAATGCGTTAAGCAGTTCCTTTCCTGTACCATAAAAAATTAGGTTTAAGCTTTAAATAATATTAGTCTGTTTCAGCTCACATATAAATCATTTGCAGCTAAAACATTTTGATACAAGATTTTCTTGTAAATGTAAAAATAAATTTAAAAATAAAAAAGCATAATTACAAAATTAGCGCTACTTTATCTAAATTAGTATTGAGGTGTTAAGTTAATTTTTTTATTGTAAAACGTTACAAATTAAACTAAAAAAATTTTTATTTCTTTACAATTTCCAAAACCAGAAAGGTACTTCTTCTTAACATAATTGTATTTAATATTGACTGTTATTTGCATTATGCATTTATGCCTTACATTTTTGGCCACACTTTAAAATTACAAAAATTTAACCTCCTTATACTTCGTTCAATATTTTTTGTGGGGGTTTCGCTTTCGCATCACCCACTATTACTTGCTTGAACCCTATGCATAGAACTTTACATATTAAATACATTAATGTTTATAAAGCCATACCTTGAAGCATAATAAATTCTGGGGCATGCACATAGTGTTTCCAAAGCACCTCCTTACCTTCGTTGATACTTGTTCGTCATCTTCGTCATCTTCATCATCATCTAATTGACACGTAGCACCGTTGGCACCGTCTTCAAAACTCATATGCGTTTTATACTGTGAGGCAAAATTGCTTGTAGGTTGAGTTTGATTTATATTGTTAAATGAAGTATTAAGTGAACTCAAGGAATCTTGACCACTTATAAGAGCTAGAAAATAAAATATATAACATAATTTAATTATATAGTAATGTAAAATTAAATATAACTAACCAGAACTTCGTTGTATATCCTTAAGTCCTTTTTCAATACTTATACCCAATGTAGAACTTGAACGTGATCTATAGTTACACTCTTCCGGTAACTGATACACATACAGTTCTTTTGCGGTAGCTGGTTTTATTTTTTGATCATCAGCAAGTATTTGTCTTATTTGTGAATTCCAAATTTCACAAACAAGCATATAGTTAGGATTTAAATAACTCAAAGTGGCAAGTTTTCGTTTCAGTTCTATATATTTTGATTCGGAATTTAAACGCAAACCATATTTGATAGGCACAGATCCGTCTAATAATATTACTATAAATAAAACAAAGAAGTAGTTTGATTGAATTAAAAATGTTAATTAGTTGTTATACCAAGTACTTCAAAGTAGATAAAATTTTCTACTGGTAAGGGTAAACTCAATAAACTAAATGGATCAAAACGCACTGATTCCTTTCCACAACCCAAACAGCTTACTTTTGATTTAAGCTGTCCATAGAATAAATCAATAATAATAGATTGATTACGTGCATGATGTTGAGCCCATGCTTCCGCCGCAACAATTTTGTCTGAGCGTCCATTTGAATCCTTTAATTCACTATATGTTTTATCCATTACACGATTTAAGTCTTCATGCAATGCATCCAGGAACCATTCAAGCAACTCTTGAGAATCATGTTGACCACCACCAGCAAACTGGGATGCATGCTTGGTAACACATATACGAAGCTTAAGTGGTGCCACTGAACGTGTAGTTGCTGTCCATACTTCTTTTAACAATTCGCCATATCGTGTGGCTAACTGTCCACGTGTGCCTAGTTTATTTTCTCTGTTTATTTCAAACATATGCATATCCCGATGAAAATACTGCGCTAATGGCTGTGTATTAAATAATACTTGTAACGCTGCATTCATAAAGCATGTATTACCCAAGTTATGCAATCCTGTAGCACCAGGTGCATGTACAGACATAATAGACGTACGCGTTAATCGACGATCATTTACAGTACTATTTTGATTAAGTGTCAATGATCCTAGTTCCTCCGGCCAAGTTAAATCTTTATTACGTATTTCGAGCAATATTTGATCGTTATCTTTGATAACCAATTCTTTGAGTGTCATATTATCTTCTTCAAGTAGTATTGCGCTATTTTCCAATGAACCTGCAGGAATGTGCCATAATCGTACATCGTCCGGTCTTAGTCTCAATTGTACGCATAAGAATTCGCCGATTTGCCTTATAGTCGCTAGACGACTAAAGGCAGCAGTGTACGCCAAATAACGTTTTGGTGGCTGCAAAACGTTAGATGCTGAAATTGCAGCATAACCTCCGCCAGAAGCCATCACACCATAACCACCTACATAATTATCTACAATTTAATATTAAAAAATATATTTCAAGTAAACTTTTACAAACCTGAAACTGCTCCCCAACTATTGACTGTTGCATTATTAGGCATACTCTGATGCAATAGTATGCGTAAATTTAAAGGGTATAATTCTAATTCCACGCTTGTTGAATTTGGTGGTTGAATCACCTATCAAAATACCAAAAAATTTGTTATCATAACTTGCTTTATTAATATACTAGTTGCAATATATACTTGTCTTGGTAGAGGCAAATTATGTCCATACCAACGATTTAATGCTTTCCATAAAGATTTGGGAACCAATTCAAAGTCATGATTTTGTACTAGGGGAGTATCACGTTTTAGATGACCACCCTCACCAGTTAATGTTCGCACATTTTTATATGGGTTTGGTGTTATAAGATTAGTGTTATCGATTGGTCCTGGCCTTCGCCCATATTGTCCTGTAGATACACCACTGCTAACTGAGCCTAGGTAAATAGATCTCAAAAAATAAATACGAAAATAGACATGTTTTAATAATCCTTACCAATGCTGCAATTATCTATTATAGTTACGGCATCACCTGATATATCTAAATAGTTTGAATTAAAACTTTCATCACATATAAGGGCTTCATCTACTACCCCAACATTAGAGTTACGTTGACTTATCGTTTTCTTGCAATAATCGCATGGTGTAGATGTATTTTGCGAATATTGCATCCATGACATCCACCATTCTCTAGATATTAAATACCAAAATTGCCCCACAGAATATTGCCGTTTTTCTTCTCTTTTTAACCACCCGCGCACTGTTTAAAATAGTAAAAATTATATTTATTTATTTATTTATAATTAATATGCATACAATAGCAATAGTATGCATATTATAGAGTTAGAGCAATAGGGTTTTAAACTACATTAAAAATAATATATTTATTCAGTTATAATGTTATTAGAAGCAATACAAAATATAAAGTGCTTGTTATTTATCATAATATTAATATATAGTTTTAGTTAAATACCAATATCATATTCCATATGTCTGCATTGAGGCCAGAGTCCAAAAACGATATGACACACTTCAAAAATTAGATCTAAGAAAGGCTGTACAAGTTTTGAATTACTCTCTACACTCCACATCATAAAGTCTTCAGCTGTCAATAAGATATTATCCTACGAAAAAATGTGTTTTATATAAATTACTCATTTCTAAAATAATATTAAATAGTTAATAAATACTTTATTTGATACACATGGTTCCAATTTAGTTTTGTCTTCTTCACTTTTTCTTGTTTTAAAACTTAGTAAATCACTAATAACATCCTGCTTCTTTAAGTCTTTATAAATATTAGAATTACGATTTTCTTTTGCAACGAAAATAAGTACATTAATCATTTGTATAGTTTCCTCATGATTTAATGAGCCATCCTGGTCTATATCGAAGATCTTATAACAGACTATGTAATAGTAGAATAAAATAGAAGTAAATTCTTAAAAAATTATATTAATTATATTTACTAACATCTCGTTCTTTCAACTGTTGGTCCTCTACATGCTGCACTTACGCCACAACAAAGTTCTTTAAAATCAATGTGACCATCTCGATTTTCGTCAAAAGCATTAAAAAGACCTATTAAAGCATTTTTTGGGATTGGTGGGCTTAATAGTGGAGCTAATAATTGCAAATCAAGTTGTCCATTAGGTGAGTCATTCTTTAATTGCCAAAATTCCTTTTCCAAATCGCTTATATCCTATATATTGTGTAGTTAAATGTATTATTAAAAATATTTAAAATTAATAGCCAATATTTGTTTCTTACTTTTTCTTCCAAATGTGTCACGCCGGCCAAACTTTGATAAAAAGTCGGCGTTTCTAGTTCTGACGTTAAATTAATGCATGTATCTGATGATAAAAGCCATTTCGATAATATTGTTGAACTTTTATGTTGCAATATCCAGTCGTGATATTGGTCGAAATTTATGCGATCATTTTGGGCAAATAATGAAACACTTTCAAATGGATGAAGATTGACATTTTTTATATATTCTGATTTTATAATATAAGTGCCAGCATCATTACAGTATAAATTCCATAGAAATCTAAAAGACAAATGTTTAATACTTCTGTGCTTTTAATAATGTTCATATTATTTAAAATTTACCTAACTTTTTCATCTTCGGTACCGCGGGTAAGTAATACAAGTCCACATAGCAGATCTTTAAATGATATACCTTTAGCAGAACCACCGCATGCACTATATAATAAATCGGTTATATTAGGAGGCACACCTTCGCAAAGTACATCTTGTTGAAAGGAATTTCGACTTAAATATAAACGGCCAACTCCAGCCGACTTTTTGAATGCATCTTTCAAACGTCGAAGCTCTGATTCCGTAACTAGTTTTTTTTTAAAGACAATTGAAAAAAAATAAATTTTATAATTGTGTATTAAATAAATTTTATGTACTGCTTTCAGAAAAATCTTCAACGTCATTTGCTACTGAAATTTAGTGCGCTTTACATCAGTTACGATGTAAATCACTTCATACCATTCATGCAATCAGTCAATGCTCAATTTGGGTCAAAGTTTAGCTAACGGAGCAAAGCAAGCAGCAAAGAAAAACATGAGAACATTTACAAAAGCAACACTACAAGCAGTGGCAAATCCTACCCTAACATCGAATGTGCTAGTTAACAGCACTAAAAGCGAACAAAACTAGTATTGAAGTTGTACACAGTAACGATGTTATAAAAACATCACTAAAGCGAACGGAATTAACCAAGTGTTAGCGAATACAACAAGAAAATTTTCCATTAAGCTTAAAAATTTCTGTACGATGTTCTTCTATAAACATGTATAATGTTAAAACGGAAAATTAATTTTCCAGAAAATGTCTGTATGTTTATATAAATATTTTCAAAATTTAAAATAAATCATAAATATTCTATCCAAAACAACAGCAAAGGCTATATGTCTAATTTAAAATTGTCTACTTATTAGTACATTATTTTTTCAAAAGACTACCTATTTTATCTATTTACCTCTTAACAAAATTTACAAAGATTTATATATAACATTAATATTTATTTAATATTTTAACCCTTAATGTAGTAGTTGAGAATAATTCTTAAGCTTTATTTGACTTTATTTTAAGTAGTATTTACATTCAATATTGTTTTATATAGAATATGCAACAGTCCAACTCATTATTATTATTATAAGAACTTTTTCTTGAAAACAGAAGTGTGGTATAGTTTACATTTGTCTGTTTTGCAACTGTGACGTCATTAAATATTTTAGACCTTTTAAGATATAGAAAATCATTACTATGATTTTAAAATAGTTAAATTAGTTTTTTAATGGTGTAGTTGAACGAAAATATGATTAATCTCTACAACAATCGATTATTGTCGAATTACTTATACCTCATAGTAAACTATTCATCTTTTTCATCTTTTAGTATGGACGGATTTGTTGTAAATATTTAAGCGTACTATCAGTCCTTACCTCTTTTTACAGCATCATCGAAACTAATTAGTTGTTTAGATTCCTTAGCTCCCATGGTTTTTCAAAAGGATTAAAGTGTATAAATGCGCAGTGATAAAACTGCGATTTTGTCACTTTTGCGTATTTTGTATTCGTTGTCTGCCTCTAAATCACTATCAGATTAAGTCTAATCTGTTGTTCTTTATTATAAAATCATTATAAAACAATTTTTTTTTTTTTGAAAATTGTAGCCTTCAGTTTAAATTTATATTTTCTATAAAATTGTCACAATTTCATTGCGCTGTCAATAAATATCTGAAGTATTCCAGCACACAACAATGTGAAAAATCCTATGACTGACGGTCATTGCACAAAAAATAATAATAATAATAAAGAAATAGTGTTGAAAAGCAAAAAGTTTAGAAGAGAAATGTTACAAAACTTTGTAATAAAAGCTCGTACGTTAGAGTACTGTTATACCAAGAAAATAACTATATATTGTTTTCTGTATATCATACATTTCATTTTTGTTTACATTTTCTTGTATTTAGATATGAATAGTTCATTCATTTTTAATTGAAATAAACATAATGCTAATAATTTTGAAAATATACATAAGTATCATCTCTGGTTTCTCTAATCAGCTGATAAAAGCTAAAAATTATTTAAAGAATTTCAAATTATATATATCCTGTAGTAAAAATTAATTTTTAATAGTTTAAATAAATTTGTACAAAATCATGAAATTTGTATTGTGCTATCATTATAAAGTAATTAATTAACATTTGCTTGTTATAATTTGACAGATTAAAAAAATAATTACTTCCAATTGTATATGTATTTTAAAAATCAAAAACGGTATTATAAATATATTTGAAAAATCCTGCAATAATATTTTAGCGATTTTCTTAAAAGCAGAAGTCTTAACAAAAATAATTTTAAAGTTAAGCCTTTTTGAAATTGCTATTGTGGGGTAGACATCACAATGTAAAAGCTGTTTTACTCATTTCATATTCATTTCTATATATTTTTATTGAAATTTTATACAAATATGCATTATTCTGCATTTGTTCTGTGCCCTATGCACAAGTCATATAAATTATATAATAAAATAATGGATAAATAACACAATTAAATATATTGAAACCATTTTATTATTATATTTGTATAATAATAGGTGTATTCGGTGGCTCGCAAGTACGGCAAAAAACAGCAAGTTGTTGGCCTATGCAGGCCTATACTGGCCGCAATGTATGCAAAACAACAACACTATTTTCTCTACCTCGGCCAGCATAGTTATGCTGGCCAACCACATCGGCCAGTAAAAAAAAAAATGTTACCAACGCAATAAGCGAACTATTGTGAACCTTCATTGAAAATTCCAACGAATAGTGCAATCAAATGTCAAAAATTGAGGAAATAAAAATTCAAACAGAATTCAAAAATTTGAAAAATTTTGAAAAGTAACGAAGAAATAATAAGAATGGACAAATCGTAAGTATTGAGCACATTGAATTTTTTATTATGTTAGTTATTACCAAGTAACATTTATTTTATTTCATTTAATTTGTAGTTTACATACGTAAAATTAATAAAACAAACATAATTTTTAAAGTTTTTCTAAAAAAATTTTTTATAGAAATACACGCAAACTATGGACCACAAAGGAAACGAAGTGTTTTCTAGAGTGCATTCATAACATTTAAAAAATCCTCGTCCCTCGGCCGCTGCAAAACGTTGCGATGTCTCCCAACATCGACAGTACCTTCAAAAATTTACTTATCTTAGTGTTTTATTTTTAAATTTCCAATATTCTTACCATTCATTTTAATTCCGTGTTCTTTTTAATTTTATAATATTTTCATAAAAATATATTTGATTTATATGCACATATACAAGATTTACTGTTTGTCAAAACAAAACATTTGACAGATTGTAACAGTGATGCCAATGATTCGCGTGGCCAACATAGGCCAACATGCATTTTTTGCCGTACTTGCGAGCCACCGAAAAGGCCTAATATATATTTACATTTTAATACTACGTTTCCACTACGTACTTAGTAAGCCATATAGTAACTTTGAGCTTTTGGTCGTTTACATTATGGAAAAGAGCTTTTATATGTCAAGAAGTTACTTAAGAAATGAGAAAGAGCTTTTATGTGTCAAAAAGTTCTAGTTTTAGAGCTTTTGTTTGTTTACATTTTAATTGTAAGCAGATGACATTAAATTTTGTATTGTTAGAATGTTAGTTTTGAATTTTGAGTGTTTGTTTGTGGTTTGTTTCATGTGTCAAATGTTTCAAATTCCGATAATTTCCAATGTTGCATTTGTCATTTTTGGTATAATTTTGGTCCAATTTTGCTTACTATATGCTATAGTAAGTAAAAAAGCAAAGAAGCTATTTGTATGGTAAATGAAATTTACTCAGTACGATAAGCTTGCTAAGTACGTAGTGGAAATGGCCTATAAGCCGTGCCCGAGTTCGAGTAAATTTCGAGTAGGGTACATTAGATAAAAATTAGATAAAATAGGTGTTACCATTGTGAAAATTTTATAATAAATAAATTTTAAAACGTTTAACCAAAAATAAAATTAAGTGGTATAAATAAATGTAAATAAGTGCAGTGCAAAAAAGCCTTAGAAAATTTCAATTCACTTTACCTGTTATATAATAATATAAACAATATTATAATATATTAACATCTTTGAATTTGCCGTTTTTATCGTCAAATTTGTGACAATAAAGATTGAATGAAAATTTTTAAATATTGCAACCCAATTGAGCCAAATTGAACTTTGTAAATATGGTATTAAAATCTGAAGATATTAAGAATGGAAGTAATTTTTACGAGATATATGTATATTTATTACCCAATGTACACATGTTTTTCTCTTTGTGGATAGTACGTACATATTAATATACATATTAAAGAACTAAAACCACAGTATCGTTGAATGAAAAAAATTTATAATTATACCTAATTGCAAAATTATACAAAATAATGTTAAATTTTTGTTAGTAACGTATTATTAATAGCATATCATAAATATGATACACAAATTAATATAGCACATAATAAAAAAAATTTATTGTAAAAATAACATTTTGTACGATATGAACAGTAATAAACGCATTGTAATTGTTTTTGCAATGGAATTTTAACACTACATTTGTGAACAATCAAATTTAGAGTTGTATTTGAGTTTTGCATTTTTCATACCCATTGGATATAATTCAATGAGATCTAGGCATGGTTGAGATCTAGTTGGTTTTTGTCTGACGTATTCCTTTTTGTCTGTTTTAACAAGACAGTGATTTAATTGATTTTTATCTGCTCTAATTAAACTAGTTATATAATTTACTATTTATAATTTACAAGAAACTAAATTATATGTTTTGTTTGTTTTAACAAATTAAAATAATAAATATAAAATAGGTTAAGAAAAATTGAGTAACTTTTGAGTAACTTTGTATAAGTAAGAGTAAATTATCGAGTAAATGGGAGCACTTGAGAGAGCGTAACATCCTTGTCGAAATTTGAAAATGCTACACAGACTTTACTTATACATATTATTTCAAGTAAAATTTGTGTGATATGTGACTCAGCTGTTTTGGTTTGAATTAAAATTTTTGTATTGTTTATTTGCGCGACACTGATGTTCTCACCAAATTTTACACAAACCTGTTCCATGAAAATCTATGTAAAGAGCGTAATTTGGAACTTTATTTCTATTCTCTTAATTTGTACTTTACTTGTGTTTTGCTTGAGTTTTACTACGACTAACTCATGGAACAGACCTAATATAAGTACTCACTATTATTTCACAAAGTTTAATGCATTCGCAAAGAAAAAAACAAAATTCAAATAAATTTGTATGTAAAAAACCCATAATTTTCTATATACGAAATTATATATAATATAATTTTATACTTCTTATAATATTCTAATTATATGCTTATACGAATATTTGAATTGTATATATTACTACAATAACTTTAAATTTTTCATAACCAAATACAACCATGTGAAAATATTCATTTCATAGTTCAGAGTTGTTGAAATCATATTTATTTTATCATTACGAAGAAATTCATCGGAAATTTGTAGACGATTCGGGTTTTGTCATCAAAAACGCATAAGTGCGATCAAATATTTTTTATATAAACATAATTTAAAATTTAAATAGTTTAAAACAATTTTATTAAGAATTTTTAGTGCAAATGTATAATACAATTTAAAGATATCTGAAATTAATTCAAGTCCTGTTAGTTGTCGCCATTTTTCTTGTGTCCTATTACTGGGATTGGAAACGCAAACTAAATTGAATACAATTTTATTAGAAACAAAATTTTGTATAAAGAGTGGTGAAATCAAAGGAAATTAATTACAAAAAATAACAAATAACTTTGGCAGACAATGGCCAAAACATATGATTATTTATTTAAATTGCTCTTAATTGGTGATTCTGGCGTTGGAAAAACATGTATCTTGTTCAGATTTTCAGAGGATGCCTATAATACAACTTTTATATCTACAATTGGTAAGTCAATTTAAATTAAATAATTAAAGACTAAACTATACAATTATATAAATGCGACCAACTCCTCAACATTATCGATTAAAGGGTCCACTTACTCTTTCCAACTTCAAAAAGTGATTATTATTACCACACACACCTGATGATGTGTTGTTTAGTTTGTTCTTCGCTTTAAAAAAGTATAATTAATTCACAACATATAGAACAGAACGTCAAGTTCAATTATTTAATTAAAATGTGTGAGTCATAACTAAATATTTTGTTTTGTTTTATAGGAATTCTCAACAAATATGTAGTATGTATGTTTATCAGTTTATCAGTAAATTTGGGCGCAGCTTAAAGAAAGGGGTCAACATTATTTTAATCAGTAAAAGGAGAAGTTCCGTTTTCTATTTAAAATATGTAAATACTCTTAGTAACAATTTTTACTAATGTAGATGAATATTTTTCACTTTCAATACGCTTAGCGTAAAAATTTTCTTTTAATACAAATATTTTTTGTATAATCTTTCTAAGCGTTAGATAACTAAAATTTAAAATATTTATTATGGAAGCAAAAACAGCATTTAATAATATCTTATTCATTGACTTTTTGAACCATAATCAATTTTTTTAATAAACACAATTTCTATTTATATTAAGGTATTGACTTTAAAATACGGACTATTGAATTAGATGGTAAAAAAATTAAATTACAAATATGGTGAGTAAAGTATTTTTATAAAAATATGTTGATAAAATGTTCATAAAATTTTTGAAGGGATACGGCTGGTCAAGAAAGATTTCGAACTATAACGACCGCATACTACAGAGGTGCAATGGGTATAATGCTCGTGTACGATATAACGCAGGAGAAGTCCTTCGAAAACATAAAAAATTGGATAAGAAATATTGAGGAAAATGCCTCTGCCGATGTTGAAAAAATGCTGTTAGGAAATAAATGTGAATTAAATGAAAAACGACAGGTAAATATTGTTATAATTTATTTATTTTACTTATAAGATATTTACCAATATAATCTAATAAAATATTCGTAAAATAATGTTAAGTTGGGTACAAAAAGCAGTTGCTAAGTATTTTGTATTAAATACACAGGAGATCAACAAAATAGACAGACTCTATCGATGAATACTTGAACATCTTTATAAAATCAAACTCCTTTGTTATATATTCTGAAATGTATTGTTGAGTTTCTCAAGGGCATAAAATGCTCTAATTTTATCGATGCTTTTCTTCACGCAATCACTTATCAACATTAAATGATGAAATTAGTTGTGTTTTTCATAAAAATAGAATTAAAATTAATATCTGTAAAATAGATACCAAATTCGCTAAATAGTAATATGTAAACATGCTTAATACATAATATAAGTAAATTTTAAAGATAAGTCCTGATGAAGCATAGGGCAATAACAAATTATTTTCAATTTTATCAATTTTGTGTCAAGAGCTTACTTTTCGACTAGTTCATGTATGGGTATTTTTACTTCGTGAGCCTTGCGGTTTCCATTCATTGGGTTATTTACATTATTTTCCATTTTCTTAGATTTTTAGGAAAAGTGTTCGTTAGCATGTATACATCTATATTGGCGGTAATGTTCATAACCGCTTGCACACTGCTTGTCATTTAAGTGCACACCGCCCTGTTTTTGGGCACAAAATTGTTGCTATTGTTAAAAATTCGAATTTAAGTACGTTCTGTTATATTACGAGAGAGTCAAACATGTTGTCAACCAAATCGAAAGCCGTTTTGCTTTCTTCTAAGTTGACTGTTCACAACTGGTAGTATCCAATTAATAATAGTGCAGACAAGAAGCTATTGAATAATATTTGACAATGCAATACCACATCAATTGTTGCATTACGATTGGAGAAGCCACTTTCCATAGATAAAGTTGCTCATAAGGACGTTTTGGATTTAAGATAGTACAAATTAATAAATCAATCTGAGGTTTCAAAATTTTACAAAAAGTGCCCATCCTATTAGTCATTTCTATTATGACTTTCGGCTTTTATATAGAATTTCTATTTATTTCTGCATCGTCCAATTTATCTAAATGTCTTCATTGGAAAATCAGTTCACTTTTTTAGTTGTCTAAATATTGATAATAGTTTTTCGAAAATTACAGGTTACTAATGAAAATTGCAGCAATGTAAAACACTATTTGTGGCTTTGCGGTATTTTGGCTCATTCTTGGCTTGCACTTGCTTCAGACGATCGACATTTTTGTATTTTTTAGTGCCAACCAGACCGACAAATTTAAAGGGTTTATATCAGGTGAACACGGTACCCACTGTGTTGATGAAATAAAGCACGGAACGTTGTTTTTTTAGCTATTCTTTGGTGACGCGTGCTTTGTGCGAAGGTGCTGAGTCCTGTTAAAATGTCCAAAGCTTGTCACCTAAATGCTTATCTGCCCAGAGCTTAAGTGCTTCCTGTTAAATAGTTTCTCGATACATTTGGGCGTTTATACCCCGCTTCGATTAACACGAGCGGAGAGCGTCCCATCACCATCGGTAGCGCCTTCTTTCTGGTGGTCATTTGTACGTTTAAATTTTAGCTGACCTCTCTTAAAAATAAACTCAATTATTTTGCTTATTTACGTATTGCTCAATTACGAATGGTGACTCATCAGAAAAAACCAAATTCGGCAACCAACATCCTTCGGCCATCGATGATCATCCTTTTTGTTCATCGATGAGATCATGCACTTTGTTCGACTTCAATGGCTTTAGTTCGAGATCATTTTTAAAATGTGTTGCATCCTTTCTTGCGATACGTTCAGCTCCTTTGCCATTTGATTGTAGCTACGGCGAAGGTTTCGATCATTTCCACTTCCTGGTCGTCAGCCAACGCTACCAGTATCACGGTATCGGTTCACATTTAGGTGTTGGTGGAGTCGAACGATAGCTGCTTATGTTTTTCCAGCTAAATATAAAGCGACCACACTATCACGTTTGAACTCTATCACATGCAACTTCTTTTCTACAATACAAAGATCAAAATCCCTTCGTACGCTTGTAAACAAGACAATGAACTGCCAAATGAATTAATTTTGAACTTTCTGTCATTATTGGCTTAACAGCTTGATCGGTGCAAAGTTTGTTGCAATTTTCATCAGCAACCCTGTAGTTATTAGTAAAGATAGATCCGCAGTTTGGGGACAGGGCTACTGTCTATGATTTTTTGGGTTAGGGTATCTAATCTTGCACCACGAAATTATTTGAAGATGAAAAATAGGGCATAAGAAACTATGTGTTACACATTTGGTCCCTAGCACCGCATTTACTTTTATAAATTGATTTTTATGAATTTTCTGAAATTATTTTAATGTTTTTACTGTCCTAATATGATGTTTTTGAGACGCTAAACTTGTACCAATAAGAAAACAAATTACCACTGCGTCATTTACATGTAAACCAAGCTACTCAGATTATTTATTTATTAATACAGCTTAGTTTTTATGTGAAAAAGTTATGAGTAGGAGAAGAGCCACATAGAATCCAATTGCTTTATACAGTCGTCATAAAATCTATATATAATCATTATATAAGTGGGACACTAAGCACAACTCTATCGATGGCAATGGATTTGATGCTTCATTTATAGCCGCATAATCTTATAGTTTATAAATTGCACCATATTTGCACTTAGGATGAAAGCCACAGTTTTATTCTCAATATTTTCAGTTCTATTTTAAAAAAAGTTTAACTATATTTCTGTCATTTTCAATTTAGAAAGAAAATTCAATGTCCGCTTTCCATTTAGACACGAGATATAAACAGTGGAGAAAATATACTGCTTTTGGGGTTCCTAAACACGGAAGTGTTTCGCGGTAGTGATTTAATAGAAATACACATGTACTATCAGACAGTCAAATTGCTTTAAAGTTTATGAGTTCAGTCCAACTTATATCTAGAAATGTTTTTGACATTAACGCATCACTAAACGTGATGTCGACATAGTTTAACATTTCTTTTCATTGGATTCCCGAACACAGGGATATAGTTGGCAATTACAAAGCAAATGAACTGGTCAGATGAGGTGTCAATCAGAAATTTAATAAAAGATGGGAAAACATCTGTGCGGAAGTTGGCACCGATATATTGAAAAAAAATTTGTAATGGAGATGCCACGAGAAGATATCAGTCTTGTGATAAGTTTATTGAGTTCATATCCATTTAGAAAACCATTTTAAAATATTGTCTGATTTGTGCTTTGTATATGTTTAGCGCAAGCACAACATCAATTGATAATGCTAGAGGCTTACTATTATTAGGATTAGGATTTTCCTGATTCGGAGAATACCAGGATTTTCAGTACTTGAAAAATGTAAGATAGTCACAACAGTAGAATCTTATGGTTCGAGTTAAACTCGAACGATTTACATAAACGAGCCACTGGTGTTATAATTTGATTTTTAAGTGATATCACATTAAGAAGATGATATAAAAAAAACGATTATGTCGTTCTTGTTACTTGGATTAAAACCAGGTGTACCCGATATTTGTAGCTTAACAATGTGTCCGTTCGGATTCTGGTTTATAAAATATTCTTCTATTACTTTCAAGTAGATTAAAATTGAGTAAGAAGTATTAATATAACTATATTATAACTATATTATAACTATATATATTATAACTATATTATAACTATATATATTAATATAACTATTAATATAACTATAGAATATGATCCAAAAGAATATTAAACGGTTATATCAGTAAACGTTATACCCTTTGCAGTACCATAAATAAACAGATCAAAAATTTTCTGACAATGGGAAAGCCAATACGTGGAGGGTCCACAAGAGAGAATATCAAACTTTTGTATAGTACAACAAAATGAGAGAGTTTTATAGGATGTCTATACCGGTTTCCAAAAGTTATCAAACTTTATAGCTAAAAATGTATAGATTAATGGGTATTAAAACCATAGCGTTGTGGATTAAAAATGAAGCTTGGATTAGATAAGATATTCGTTTTAATTAGACACTCTGCCTATAGATGTATCTGCAAGTATTTTCAATGTTTTTTACGAAGTGATGAATTCTGTTTAAATTCGTATCGTATTAAAAGTAAACTCTGTGCCAATAAATTCTGTTATGCAGAGAAAAAGTCTTGAGAAAGTTACACTATTTAATTTATGTGAATGTGCTTTATTACCTGACTTATTCTAAGAAGTATTGTCTTTAGTTATCTTCTTTATTTGTTCATAGTTCTATATTATTTTGGTATTGACCAATGTAAGTTGTACTTGATGTTATATTACTATGTTTATTTTCTATGGGCAAAATAAGATTGGTCATTCGTTCGTAATATTTGGATTAATAATTCGAACTCAAAAAGTCTGCTTAACTTCTTTTTATTATATTTTTATATTTAAATAAGATTATAATACATTTCATCATATGATGTATGTTGGTTTATTTAAATACTACTTTTCTATGGTATTTTTATATCTAATTTTTTCTGTTGAGGCATTCTTAACGTGTTTATTCGACAGATCACTTAACAACTGTTTTTGTCAGTTAATAGATTTATCTGTTATACCTTACTATTACTACATAAAACTGAATCAATTCATAAATGTCTTTAGTTATCCTCTTGTTAAAATTATTACTTTTCTTTTACATAGATTATAATCTGTAGAGCTAAGTATACACTGTTTTTTTTATTGGCATACCAATACATCCATACATTGGCATGGATCCATAACCATGAAAATGGATATGGAACCATGATAGTCACGAAGCTTCAGTTAGTAGTTAAATGGAGATTTGGACACACGAATAATGTAATCCAATAACATTTTTTTAATACCTGCTTTGTAGTTGTATACCTTTAATTTTTCGTGATATTAGTATACTAGTATATTTGGTCATATTTCTATTTCACCATTCTGCTGCAGTCCATTTTATTTTATTGTTGCTTACTTACTATTGCTTACTCTCTAGAGCTTCAGTTA